ATTAATTTTTTCATAATTTAATTTTCATGAACTGAAAAATTAATATTTAAGTTAACAGTATTTTTGAATAAATAAAAATGAAACATATATTGACTAGCAGAACCCAGCGTTATCATTCTCTTTCTGCCTCTCCCTTCTTTCCCCTTCCATCTCTCCTTCTCTCCCCCTCTTTGTCCCTCTTTCCTCTCTCCCCCCTCCGTCGGTCCCTCTCTCTTGCCCTTCTCGAAGAAACAGACTTTCAGGGGCTCCCAAGAAATAGCTTCTTATTTATTTATAACCATCACACAATAAAAATTACTGAAAAAATATTTAATCGCTTTTAGTGATACGTTCACATGTCAAAATCGCTACTTCAAAATTGCTCTCATTTGGATGAAAATCCTGACAAAGCTAATAATTTGAACATTGTTGACCACAAAGTTTTTGTTCCAGGGTACTCATTCGTGAAAAATGAAAAAAAAAATCATTAGGTTTCCTCTGTTCTAATACCAACCGATCAGCTCGAAAGAACAATACGTGAAATGGCGCAAGAGGATTTTAAGTCTACTTTGCAGCTTGAGAAAGCAGTCGCGAGAAAGATTAATAATGCAGGAGAAAAATTAAATTGGCTACAAATACAGTGGAGGCGCTTGCTTAAAAAGCCTAACTGTAGCTAAAAAACAAACACATAATCGAAATTCTGCTCTTGTGCACCACAATTACTTCAACTCTCGCAACAAATGCTCGCATTTACGGAATTTCCTTAATTTTTATTTAATACTTCATGACGTGACTGTCAACCATATTTCCATTGTATATTTCATCTTCTTTCATTAATTTCTAAATGATGTGATGTTACTATTGTTTGATTCATTTTTTAAGAGAGTCTTTGTTAATTTTTGAGTAACGTTTCTGTATTGTTCTTTTCTATTATTGATTGTTTATTGAAAACTTGTGTACATGACTTTACGTACCCGTTAACTCACATTTTCAATGTTTCTTTATGCACAGGAATATTTGCAGATATTTTCAAAACAGCAAAAATTAAGCCACTATTTAAAAAAGGGAACAAAAATGAAATTGAAAATTACCGGCCAATTTCTCTTTTGTCAGATTTCTCAAAAATATTAAGAGGCTTTTCTATACGCCAATGGAAACTTTTTTCAGGAAAAACGAAGCATTTTCAGACACAACACGGTTTTAGAAAATCAAAATCTACGGAAACAGTTCTTTTTTTCTTTTCTTAAAGATGTTGCTTCATCAATGGACCAAAATGAAGCACCCATTGGAATATTTTTAGATCTTTTGAAAGCCTTTGTCGTTATTGACCATAACATTTTGCAATCAAAATTACCTTCTTATGGAATTCGTGGTATCATCCTAGATTGGATAACCTCGTACCTTAAACATCGATCTCAAAGAGTAGAAATACCGTTCTGGAACGAAAGGATATTATTTACTTATTTTTTCCGATTCTTTGCCAATTGAATATGAGGTCCTGCAAGATTCGATCTTTGGTCCTATTCTTTTACTGATGTACGAAACAATATGCCCTTGTCTGTTATATACAGAAGAACGGTTCTGTTTAGCGATGACACGAATGTTCTATGCAAAAAAGAAACAATAAATAGTACAATTTCAGAAGTCTCATATTGGTTTTGTAATAAAAAAATTAATAATTAACGAAGGAAAACCGGTTTCACTGCATTTTTGCATTTCAAATCAGCAATCGCATGCCTCTTTGAAAATGAAAAATTTGCAATTAGCTGATGTTCAGGTAACAAAATTTCTAGGTCTCTCAATTCAGTCAAACCTCGAACGAAATGCACATACTATAAGAAAATTACACACTAAATTAAGTTTATTACGTTACGCATTCAAAATTCTTTTTAATTATGGCAGCCTTCATGCAGCTCGTTGCGGGTATTTTGCAAATGTGCATTCCGTCTGAGATATGGCATAATATTATGGAGAAGCTCATCACGTAGTATCCAGTTTTACTTCTCTGGTTTATTCGCTCATTTATTTCGATCTTAATGCAAAGTTGTGCACGTGAGTTTCAAAACAAGAGGGAAGTTACTATCTTTAGGGGATTTAATTAAATCTACTCATCTGCATTTTTCACCCTTCAAAGGGAATTTAATTCCACACTCATCTAGTTTTTCGCTCAAGTGAACAACCAAGCTTTTCGACAAAGCTGGAGAAATCCATGGTTGTAGATAAGATGATTGTGCTCAATTAACTCCATATGTGTGAATTGTGCACTACAACATGTGCATTACAATATGTGTGAATTTATACACTGCACCAACGTGATGCACTTGTGACGAAAAAATGTTAAAAAATTAAGGGAAAACTGAAATGAATAATTTGGATGATTTGTACATCAAATTATACATAATAATAATAATAATAATAATAATAATAATATAATATACTAGAAGTTGAGTTCAGTTATTCTATTTATTATTAACCAATTTTACATCTATATTTTATGAAAGGAGAATATTTCAGGAGATAAAGTGTTACTCGCTCTGGTCTGAGCTTATCTCCCTCTTGAATAAACCTTTTATTAGTACTCTAATTAATATATATATATATATATATATTATTTCGTTTTACTTGTTTTTGTTCTCATTAGACACAGGAGGAAATCTTTTCTTCTCTAAAAAACCTGGAAACAAAAAATAATATTCCGTGTACTCACAGCTTATAAATATTTATTTTACAAAGAGTTTATGCATATCTTTATTTACGAGGGAGACAAATTAGGTCCCGAGCTTGATAGCACGAGGAGCATAATTTTCCAGAGTAAATAAAGCTCTGATATATTCCGTGTAAAATGGAAGGTTTATTTTCAAACAATTTGTTTCGAAATTAAAATGTACAATTCGGTACGAGTTCAACATCCTGTAAAAGATGGAACAATTGAGGTATATAATGGGTTACTATGGAAGCGAGTTTGTTTTGGGACAGGCTGGCTAGAGTTTGTAAGCAATGGCTACATGACAATTAAGTAATATTTAAAGTGAAATAATTTAATAAACATTTAGTAATGTCTTCAAGTGATTAGAAGATTGGCGAAACCCTGGGTGAAAGTATCAGATAAAAATAATCGGTGGTTCAAGAATACAGAACAAAATTTTCGCAAAAGAACCGCAGGTGACAGTTTGCCGATTGATTGGCCATTCAGAAACAATTTTTTTTTTATTGGAAATTTGTGTTTTATCTCAAGAGTGAGGTGAACGGAAAGCAACGTTGGGTAAGTGGAAAGCATCGGCAGTTGAAAGTAGTAAAAATGCTCCTTCGGGAGCACACACTGCAGGACGGACGTTTATTAGATTCGTAACTCAATTTCGCGTAAGAAATTGCGAACGTAACTGTTATCAGGAGCAAAGGTACGAGCGACGCCATTCAAAGCCGGGAAGGAAGAACGAAAGTGGCTCTACACGGGAAGCCCATCAGTTCACCATTGACTTGTCAATTTTTCGTTTCGTCATGACATAAGCAATAACTTGTGTCATCACTATGGAATAACTTTTTCAGTGTTTGGGTAACTTACCATATTCAAGAAAATGTTATTCAACGGCGAGTAAAATTAACGTTAAATTCTTTGTAAGATTAAGAGGAAATGAGTATTAGTATCAACTTACATTTTTCTCATCCCTACATCTACATAATCACTTATTCTTATCCCTAGAAGGGAGTAGTCATTATTTTTAAAATTCTCTTAGTATTTACCTTACAAAAAGTACTAGTAAAACTAGAGCGGATCTAGAGGGTTGAAGATGTAATGCCTATCATGAGAATATTTAGGATTAAAAAAGTATTTGAACAATTTGCCTGTAGCTGCACAGAAAATGATATTTCAGTACTATTAACACTTAACATGATGTCGAAGTCTGTCGCAGCCAGAGTAATGCGAAAACTATTGATGGGTTATAGCTGAATTTTCGACTATCATGGTCTTCCTCAACGCTGAAGTGCCCACCAGGCATCATGTCCCACGATGGTCGAATCGTCGGCATTGTAGCAAACGATGTGGCTTCACCCGCACATCCGAATTTATTCCCTAACGGTCAAGGTGTTTTTAGAATGTCTTGAAAATTTTGAATTTTAATTTAAAATTCTTCTACAATTTTGAGTTCTTAGGTTATACAATGCAAATTGAAGATAGATAATGTAAAAAATAAATACCTATTGTCCCAAGTAAATTCAATTAAATTTTTGTATTAATCTTTAAGTTTTTCCATGAATAACCCTAGCGTATCAGCTGTACGTAGGATTTTCAATAAAAAGAATGTTCTTCGATTCGAATGGTTCGAATTTGAAACGGTTTTAAAATACAAACTTGAAGGAACAGAAAAACCTGTTGTTAATAGTATTTTTTCTACATAATATTTTGATGGTATAGTGCGATCCATTCGTCACTGATTCTAGATATCCTAATGTGACCTTATTAAGTTTGAGTAGTATCTTGTCATCACTCTTGCGACTTCATGTTGCTTCTCATCTATAGGAATCAATGATATGTCCAATCGTATCCTATGCTTTTCCTATCTGGGCTTCAGGCAGCAAATCAAATATCCAGAAAATGCAGATTTTCCAGAATAAATTCCTCCGAACCATTACCAAAGCTCCCTGGTTTGTACCTAACACCTAGTTACATAACGAACTCGGCTTTACTCCGATCTCCATTCATTTCTCCCTCCTATCCTCTCGCTTCTATCCTAAATTCCCCAGATTCATTCAGCTGTACGTTTCAAAATCGGAAAATAAAATCCTCACCACAATAGTCTAAAGCAGAAACTACCGCGACAATTCTTCGACCCTCCTTGTTCATCAAGTACTCGATGTGTTTTTGCACGTTTAACCCCCGGGTACTCAATGTATTCGTTTGTCAATGATGTTTCCTAAACAGTGTTAATATAATTCAATGTACCCTCAGTGTATGGTACTCGACTGCTGAAGGCCTTCGGGCCAAGCACAAATAAATAAAAGAAAAGTAGTATCTTACCTCTCATGAGTAATGACTTGATTATCAAGTTGATGGGTGAATCGATGAGTAAATATATGACAAATGAGATCGCAATTGTAAGCATATAATCTGCTATAAATATTTGGATCTGTAAAAAGTAAAGAAGAAATCTTAATTAATCGTGGGAAGCAATTATACATCGGCCTGCAATTTGTGCGAAAACCTGTGTTGTACACGTCCACATTTAATTCTTAAATATACAAAATAAACACTTCAATATTAAATAAAAGAATATAATATACAGTAGAAAAATAATATACAATAGCTTGGATATGATAAATACGTCTCGAGTTGATTATTTGTCAGAATTTGGAAATTCAGGAAAAAGTAGTCAAGTGTATCCATTTGGTAAAAGGACGAAGGCAACGTGTTTACAGAAGTGCGGAAAAAATGTCGTTCGCGGTTTCTACGACCATAGCCCGCAAGGATGCATAAAAACCGAGGCAGTTTGCTAACCTTTACTTGATGCAATAAATACGCTATCACATCGCCACCGCAGTCCAGAACTTGAGCGCTTAAAAGTGGAGAAATGTCTGCTTATTGGCCAACTTTGGCCATTTACACTAATATGAGGTATTCCAAATACAAGTTGATCAAATTCAACTGTATTACGATTATCTGTATATGCGTAGCTTGCTTCTGCATAATCAGAAATGAGAAGTGCGTACATAAAATTAGACCTTAAATAGCATGCGTGGAAACTAGTAGGCCAATACGAGCGGTTTGTGAGGAAATACTATTAATTTGAAGCTTTGACTCCTATTTTCGGGTGTGCATTGGTGTTAATGTTGCACATAGTAAAACCAGAATTTGACATCTGCGGCGGTTACTAAGTTTTGGACGTTCTGCGCCATGACGTCACCGGAGAAAATTCACCTAGTTTGCCATGTGAATTAACAGGGCGTATTTGTTGTTTGAACATTTTTGGATGCTTTTTTGAAGTTCATATCTCCATCTGTAATTGGTTATAGATGAACTGTTTTACGTTTGACAACCGACTGTGTCTACGGTAACTACAGCATATACACATCGCACGGCCTCATCGACGAAGAGGATGATGGAAATGGATGAAAGCCGAAGGTGACTGACACAGACCGACGAACATTACAAAGGATTGTGGCCAAACAACGTATAACTATTGCGGCAAAAGTGACGGCAGAACTTAACCTAACTTGAGTAATACTGTTTCCACAAAAAACGGCGGCGGGAGCTTCACTAAGCTAACGTTCATGAAAGGGCAACAATCGCGAAACCCTTCATAATGGAAGCCAACGCAACGCTGCGAAAGACGTGATGCCACAATCATAAAATCTGGACACTTGCTGATTGAAATAATGTGGTATGGTCTGATGAATCATCAATTACATTGTTTCCTACAAACGATCGAGTTTATTTACTGAGAATTATGTCAAGTGTTCGCCGACCTAATGGCCGAGGTGACAAGAGCGAACTCAGCGCTTCGGTACGAAGGGTCACGGGTTCGAGTCCTGCCGTCCTATGCTCCACCGTTCCACCCTTCCCTCGCGCTTCTTTGCTCACATGGGCGCTGACTCGCTGTCTTTCGGCATGTCTACGACCGTTGTTGGGCGCTGTGGGAGAGAGTCGGGCGGAGTTTTGCGCTGAGCACCGCTCTTGCGCCGCGCTTCGGGACTTTCCGCGCGAGAAAATGCTGCTTACAGTCCATGTAATTTTGAAATGAATTTGGAGTTGTAAGTCCATGTTTGCCATGACCCTGAACCTGTGACAGCTGTCAGCTGAACGTGAAATTCAGATCGCAAGGCACAGTTAGGGAACACATGCGCGCTAAAGAAAGCTGCTTCTTTCTGGTATTGTCAATAAAAAGTATTGTCATCGGCAATATTTTAAAATTATATTAGCACTTTTTGATGGCTTAATCATCTCTACCATTTGACTTCAATTTCTGGTTTCCAAACAGCTGATATCTGATGGTGATGGTAAACCCATCAAAAGCGGATAATGTAATAAACAAAAATGTTTATTACATTACAACAGTGACAAAGCCTGTCATTCAAATGTTTGGAATGTTAACACCACATCACTTATAAACCGATATTTAGTTACTTACCCATGTGAAGTCATCTATCCATAGGGGTGTTCTTCGACGACCTCCATTATGCATCAGCAGAATGAAATGTGTAAGATTTAACGTGTACGATAAGCGACTCAACACCCGTAATGCGTAACAGTTGAGTAGTCTGTTCAGCAGTCCTGCATGAACAGAAATAATTTATTACATTGCTATTATGTTGATTTCCGAACTAAAGGTTCATTAGGAAAGTGTCGAAGGAGTGGTACCATATTCCAGAAAATTGCACTCATTAATTCAAACGAGGTTTGACTCCAATTCTTTAAAAAAATCTGATGAAGCTATTTTTTGAATACCAGAAAATATTTGTAACTAAAAGTCAAATGTTCGTTGCTGGGGTATTATAAATGGAGTGAAAAATTCAGACATTGCCATTATTTATATCAATGATTAAAAAAAGTTGTTCTTGATTCACTATACGATTCAATTTATATTGTGGAGAAATGTACAAAGACAGCAAAGTGCATAAATGAATCTTGATTGTCCAATATCAACTCATGACTTCTTTCTGAGCATAATACCATGCATTTCGGAGGGATATCTTAATTAATGAAATAATTAGTAGTGTGGCGTCGTTAACACGAGGGCCAGAACCGTTAGGTCGGTGAAAGTACGCTGCCGGGGAGGAAGGGGTTGAGCCTGAACATTCGGGAGTTTGCGCTCGGGCGGTTGACTCAGTAGGCCGCAGAGCCAAAAATACCGGAGGCTGTAAAACTCCGAGGATGCTGCCGGCGAGCCTCGTTGTACGCGAAACAGGCAGTCCCAACCTAAGCGAACCCTAAATCGTGGTAATGACCATCCGGTGGAGCTCAGTTTAAACCCTATAACCATAACAACTGCCGACTAAACTCGCGCCAGACGTACACGCAAAATAATTTATTTATAGATATGGGTATCTCAAACACATAGGAAATACCCTGTATGTTTTTCAAATAAGGTGACGGACTAATTTGTAACCATGTGATTTTGCAAGGACCTTCAACCTTGATTTCGAACGCTGACAACGCTTCCAACCTCTGCCGCCCGGACTCCATTACATGTTGCTACATACTCATTTGATAGGAAGCTGTACGTGTGTGATAGCAATATACAACACTAGCGACAATACCCTGATTTATCAAAGTGTAGGAATCCCGTATCGACGATATTTCCGTATGAGAGTGAATGGAGCCAGACTACATATACACTCCGCGATATCTGGTCTACATACACTTCTACCGTGTCGACCTCACACCCACACAAGCAAGATAAAAAAATTTTCGACTACTTGTCCAGCCGAGCTCATAGTACAAGTTATATACTATCAACCGAATAAACTCTTCCGCGTATTCTCTCAACACACTTCCCCATCCGATTTCCTGCAGCCTTAAAATTGAGATACTATGTGATTACTAACCAATATTCTTGTTTCCTTTTGTAGAACTTAGCACAGCGAATAAGAGTGCTATACCAACCTGCTTTGAAAGATATTAAGATGATAATCTCAACCGAGAAAGAGTAATATTAGAGAGTTATTGAGGCGCCCGAATTTCCATTGTAACTGTACCATAATCTTTGAATATATTATTTTTATTTTGTTATTGAAATTTATTTCTTATTTCACTACGTCACAGTAGTCTTCATTAGAATGAAATGGAAGTATTTAGTTAATACGAGATGCAGAATGTTTTTAGAAAGTATTTGTTTTTCTGATAAGTCTCAGTGGAATATACTGAAACTCATGCATTATATCAATTACATTCTCCTGCTCCTCCAACAGTCCCTCATCGATCTCACTGACAGAGATAACGTAGCAACTCTTTAAAAGCGAGGACCACACGCCACTGATATTTTAAGGCGAACAAATGATATTTCAGCGTGAATCTGCAATCTTATTCACCTCTTAAATCTATCTTAAAACATAGTATTGAATTAGTACGCACCACCGTAACCTGTATGACAAGTGAAGACTATCCAGGAAATCCCAATAGCCCATATAAGGCGACCAACGGCTGGATAGGCTGCACTGTCCAGGATGTGATAAGTGTAGCTCTCTTGGAGCATGTAGTACGGTCCCACAGAATTGGCCAGAAACATGAGTGCGGTGATAGTCCAGCCTAGAGCCAGGAATACCTGTTCAACAGATATGAGCATCGTAAAATACATTGTAGACGATTTAATTGAGGGATTTTGGCAAATCATGGCAATTTGTTTCATCAGACGATTAAGCTACAACGGTACACGTTATTATACGTATAAATTCTAGTCACAAGAACAAATGGGTGAAGGCAATCGGAAATACAAACGGTAGTTTTATTATATCCACGAAAGACATTATTATCGTAGAGAACTGTCAGACAAAACTTTAAGATCTTTCACATATGTTGACTAACGATAGGAAAAGTGACGATTCACAATTTCATGTACTGAAATCGGAGAACAGAATGGTATTGTAGATTCTTCCGCGTCATCATCAAATTGGTATTCGTCGGGTAGCTCTGACACTTTCCCGTGTGCTGTTAAAACTATCCACCGATTTACATAGGTCTAGGCCCAGAAATGGACGTTAAAGCTGCAGATTGCCTCTCAACGTGGCTTCTTGGCTACACATAGCGTCGCGATTGGGGTCCTTTTGAGGAGGCTGTTACTCCCCAGCACTCTCCTCTTTCGACTTATTGTATGACATGAGATGTTGCCTACGTGCATATTCAAAGTAATTATAATTAGAGTCCGGAAGCTTGGCAATGTTTTTTTATTATGATTTTGTGACTTTAAACAATAGTAATCACTTGATTGTACTTCTGTGGTTGTTTCAGTAGATTTTAATTTTGTCTATTTTAGCTTCTGATACCTATTTTTGGCTTTTTGTCATATTTGTGCCTTTTATCTCTTATTTGTGGCGTTTCGTCATTATTCTCTATTTCCCTCCGGGCATCAATCTCTATTAAGCTAGAAAAATATATGCAAGCCTGGACAACATGAAGGCACTGTCGTGTATTGTCCTTCTGTGGACGCGGAAGTTCCAAGTCATGTTGTGTTAAAAATCTAAAATGGAAAGGAAGATGATATCTGTAAAGATTTTTGAAAATTTTCATTGAAGCTTACCCACGAGAAATCTCATCCTACGTTTGTGAATGGCCTCAGATCCTTCTTGAGGACAGGACGGTTTAAACACTATAATATACGCTTTTCAGTTCCTTCTTGATCTCTCTTCCCTTATGTAGATTTCACAAGTGCGAAAAACAAAATATAAAATTCCGTTTGCACTTATACCATTTCAAGATTCAAAAGGGAGTCCGAAATAGCATTTTCTTAGAGGCTGCGTTGTGAGTAAAATAAATTCAGTCGTCATATCGGATGGTCATGTACAATCAAGATTACATAGAAGAGGTAGTTTCCTTACACGTGAGTGCTAATAAAAATTTTGGAGTAAGAATAAAAATGTGAATCATTTTAATTATTATGTTTTACATTAATTACTTCTAAATTGTGATTTTTTTATGTTTCCTGTGTTTTCACCACTACTTTGTCCAAAATAAGTCATTTTTGCATGCCTATTTTAGTAAAAATAAATGCATTTTTTCCTGCCTATCATAGGTAAAATAAATGCGTGAACTTCCTGGCTCCAATTGTAAGACTAGAAAGCTAGAAAGTCTCTCCGCCCCGAGCAGGGGATGCCACCGCCCCGCCGCCGCTTGCGCCTTCAGCTTCGCCGCCGTGCGGGGCGCTACTTTCGCATGCGTGCCTTCACACCCCCCTGCCCCTGCCCCCGCCACCGCCACCGCTCCGGCTGGGCTTCTGCTCCTCTAATTGGACGGTAGGGCGCTGCCTGGTGCTCGTGGTACCAATATAATTTTTGCTGATTGCACTCTGATCAGCATGGTGCGCCTGCGGAGGAATTTTCCTGGTGCATATTAAATTCTCGTACGTTTGACCCATGGTATCGTGTATCTGTTGATATAGAATTTCTATTCTTTATATGATGGCTTTTCTTCATTTCAAAATTCTGAAAATAAGTTCTCGCATAACTATTTTTTCCTTTTAGAGATGCGCCAAATTCTAACAAAGGGTGACCTTTGTTAAAAGTCATGGATCATTGATCCTAGATCACGATCGGATGGAGAGGATCCTGTGTGTTGCTGACAGTGAGGAGTTCCGTTTGTTAACTTCTCTTTCCGCGCTGATGCTTGTTCGGAGATGATGGGATCGCCATGTCCTGAAACGACGCTCGACGAATACCTACTCCTAAATTAGCCTTAGGGTGACCTTTAGAGGGCATTTTCATGTTGAAAAGTTTTATTTGTGCTTTGCAAGTTCGAAATGAAAATATATTTTAAAAACTCATTAGAATTGCCTTGCACGCCTAATTTTAGGCGTGAAAAGTTAAATGTAAATATATTGATTAAAATACTTGTTAAATTTGTGTTCCAAAATTAGTTTTAATTATCTTCAATCTTATGATTTAAGTTTAATGATTCGTGTAAATGCCGGAAAGAGAGTATAGTAGTGCACAGCATTTCATCTAAACACTCGTAGTTCTATTGAAACTAGATATTATAAATATCAATTATATTTATATTAATGCCGATACTACTTTTGGTATCGGTAAATTAATATTTCATTTTCATATAACATCTTCTTTGTTATATTTACTGAAATCATTCAATTTTACTTGCCTCTTTTTAACATGTTGAGTTTCCTTCATACATCAAACAAGTCTTGTTTTTCAATCCTAAATACATATTTTACACGATTCTATGACAATACACAGTACTCCACACTACAAAACGCGTTTTTCTAGAATTATCCCAGAATATCCTAGAGCGAGCAGACTAGGAATTTTGCCAGTCTATGTGTGTCTTACCGAGAGGAGTAGAATGAGCTATTGATACCCTCTGTAGGTGCCGTAAGTTGCTCATCATGCGTTTTAGCTTCTTAAAAACTAAAATAACACCTCTATTTTTAGAGAAATTTCATAGAATATTCTCGATGGACCAGCAAAAAGCAGATCCCCACAAGAGACAGAGACACGTCGATTACTGTATGAGAATAAACTACAAGAATGAAAAAGGAAAATGTGAAATTTTAAAAATAACTCGCTTTAATTTTGTGAAATGAATAAAAAAAGAGAGTAACCAAATTTAAAGACACAAAGAGGACACGCGTTAGCTTGTTGCCTAGGAAACCACATTTACGATCGATACGAAAACCAACCATGACAGCATTTATAAAAACTTGGTCTTGAAAAAGTCTTAATTTTATTTACTTATCCTCATTAAAAAGATAAGTAATTGTACGTACCTTGCTCAATGAGATCCTCTTTTCCTGCGTTGTGTGTAGTAGGTAGCCGAGGTATAACCCCACCAAGTAAGGCGAAGCATGCATGTGGGTTTTTGCGTGAGTATATAATAAGTATAATGTTATTTGACGGTCTCTGAAAGAATAGTAAGTTTTAATTCTACATTATAAAACGATATTAAGATGAGTATTAAGGCTAAATGCACCGAAAAATACTTGTAGGAAAATTCAATAGATCGCAGCACTATCACAGGGGAATTTACTTTACTGATAAAGTCTGAACTCATGGTCCGATTTTCGATCTGTAAACAACATTTGACGCCTTTTTAAAATATAATTTACGCTACAAAGCCCTCTTTCCAAAAATCTAGCAAAAACGCGAATTTGAAATTAGTTCTCAAACTTCCGAGAAAAAATTAAAAAATGTGAGCTTATAGCGCGATGGCGACATGCTTCCTGAACCCAACGCCGTGACAATCATGCAAATTGGACGAATAGGAGCGTCGTAAAGTGAAATTTAGGAAAAAACCTCGCCCCCTCCCCCTTCCGCGCCGTTGCGTCACACACCCGCCCGTTTTAGGCCCTCTGTCGGCCCGGCGGCACGGCCAGGCCCGGCGGCGTGAGGCCAGCCCCGGCGGAGGAGGCGGGACAGGCAAGGAAGACACTCGGTTTATACTTTCTTCACTTTGCATCTGTCTATTTTTCCACAGATTTCAACTAGAGATGGTATACTATTATTACAGACCGAGAAGGAAGACGGAAATATGTGAAGAAGGTAGTTATATAATACTATTACAGACCGTTTACCTCGGTCTGTAATAGTATTACATAACTATCTTCTTCACATATTTCCGTCTTCCTTCGAATACTATCTTAAAATTGTTTGAGGCATTACTCGAAATATCGATTCCGATTTGGAGCTGGTTTTAAAAAAATGAACTAATTCTGTAAATATTGCCATTATTTCATCTCCTCACATCTTATTTTAGATATATTTTACTACTAAGGTCTTCTGTTATTATTCTACCTTGCTGTAAGATCTTCCGTTGTCAAATACCGGAAAGAATGAGCGGAGTAAACGTACGAGCTCTTTTATCCTACAACTCGATTTTTTATCTCAAGGCGGCGTTTATCTGCTTTAATGAGTTCATCTGGTGAATCTCTAAATAATACATCTTTAACATTTTCTCAGAAATGACTCCAGATTTTCTCTTTCGATTCTTGCCCAAATTTATGAAAATTCACTTATCGAATATAGTAGAAGTCAGGTTTTCATTACAGTATTTAAATTTTCGAATATTCTACACAAATTAAAATAATTTGATAATATCAAATACTTTAAAATATTTCATGTACAATTTTTTTAGATTTTATTATTTTTGCGTAATTTTTTCGTATCATTTTTTAAATGGCCAAACACAAGATTTTCTTCTAAACGGCTCGGCAGTTTTACTTTAAACGTCTTGTAAGGATAGAGGACAATTGATTAATCTCTTTATGTAAATACTTTTTCATTAAAACCTTAAAATTTTTAAAAATTACACAAAGGTGTAATTTTCTTTCTTTTGAGAGGTTAAGCCTCGTTTTCCACCGTACCGCGTTTTCCAACAATTAAAAGAAAAAGTTAAAAAATGACAATTGAAAAATGTACTGCTTTCCAAATATAATAATCCCTTAAATCTTGAAATAATATTTCGATGACGCATTTAGTTTTTCGATTGAATAACGAATTTGTGGAACAAGAAATTTGCCAGGTATCACTCATGACTGAAGAGCTGTTAAAATTCAGGAAAGCTGGTGAAAAGGGCTTGTCACGAAAGTGCTCTAATCAGACGAAACCTCAATACTCTTATCTGTGATAGTTTAAGAATTTTCTTGCCTCATATCAGGTGGGCTTTATTCCGCTGAAGCAGCTCTCCTTTCGCTCACTTCTTTGGAATAGCGCGTTACAATTTTCTTATAACCGCATTATTATAAGTGTCACTAGAGAGTATCACTAGTTTTTAGCAGCAAAAAAAGGTAGTTTGCTGTTTATCTCACTCAGAGGGAGCCGAAACGTTCTCTGCCTTATGAGGTAAATTTTTCACAGCACGAATACCATCATTCTATTCCCTCTAAGCAATCGGCGCTACTGCATTGAAGAACCAATAATCTTGCCCATGTCGGGAATCGAACCCGGGCCATTTGCACGAGAAGCGAGAACGACGACTGACGACACGACGTGTAACATGCTTCTTGTGTGTCATACCTGTACATATTGATTTAATTGGCTCTTCACATGTTCACTCTAATAAAAAATGATTGAGTGTTTCTCGTAAAACTCTCTTTTTATATTATCTAATTTTGTGGAAATCCCGCAAATGAAAAATTTGTTGTTCCTACTGACAGTTTGATGTCTTTAACGTCAAACATGACATTTACGTGTCAAAGACTCTGTAGATGCCTGGTATACGTAGGAAGGCAACAGTGACGCCAGTTGTCACCACCGACAGGGCGATGAGCACCATAACCAGCTGCCGCCCCCTACGCCAGCGGAATAGCGGCTGCACCAACAACGGCGCCACGACCACGAACTGCATGTCGGCTGCGAGGTACCATGACGGTTGCAAGCACTGAATCAACATCAGTTACATAATTAACATTCAGAACGTCAATATCTTGAATATGACAATATATAAAAATCAACGTGCTAATATTTGGATTTATCAAAATCTGAGTTATCTTAACATCGTAATTCATGAAGATGACAGGGAACGAATATCGTAATACAAAGGAAATTGAGATATCCAGGTTCGACTCATCGAGGTTCAACTACTCTTAGAACGTAAGCCTATTTCACTAACCAAACTTGATCGTAAATAAAAACTCACTTTACTGTACATTTTATTTCAACTGTACAGAATGTTTCAGAAAAAAAATGAAGATGACAATTATAGGTGGGTCTTGTTTTTTCTTAAACAAATTTAATGCGGTGTTTTGTAATTTAGAAGGAAGCTTACCAAACCCAAGTGGTTCGCGTAGTTGTTTATGTAGAGAACATTCCAAATCCAGTGCGCTCTACACATTTCTACATTGTAGTTGATGAAATTGCCCCAATTCGGGCCATCACCCAGATATTCGAGGAATGTTGCATAGAACCAAATTTGCAAAAAATACACCGGGCTTAATCTGCGAATTGAAATGAAATAATGTTGTGCTACAATATATACTAGATTGAGAGCACACAATTATTGTAATCCACTAGCACTAATTAAGAAAACTATATTTTATTTTGATCACGCGGTTTTAAGAAACCAAGCTCTCTTATAATTAAAATACAATATTTTCAGGTATCAATTGCTAACGTATTTAATTATTCAAGCGATGTTATTGGGTTAACAGTCTTCTTTCCTGTCTAAGAAACGATAAATAGGTCACATCAATTTTAAGTTGTAATATTAATCTTAAAATTAATGTTCTGGAGAAAAGTGTATTTTGTCATTGCAAGGGAAAGAAAAATATTGATCAAAAGCTGCAGTATTATTTGGTTTCTTTTTGACTCATTTAAGGCCAACAAATAGAATTTACAGCGCGTCGTTTATAGAGAAATACTTTATAGAACTATATTTTTTAAAAGGTAATGTCCCTCAATTGCATTTGATATTTGGTGAACATTGATGTAGCAGAAATATACTACTCCGCGATCAGAAATAATACATTAAACAACTGGAAATTAACGGATTTATAAGAAGCAAGGTTTTTTTAAAAATTACGATATAATTGTTTTAACTTACCTGAGGAAGCGATATAAGAGAGTTGTGGTGTAACTGAAGCTGCCATTAATAACAGAGTTACCCAAAATATAGCTGTATAGAGTTCCACTCATTGTGAAGAACGTGTCCACGACGATAATACCAGTCATCACCGGCGTGTAGATGATCATCTGTGTACCCTGATACATAACAACTGTATTTAATAATACAAGTGAATTCAACGACGTGTAACAGATATCGATACCACAAAGAATAGTGTATGAATAGATACAAAATTTTTACATGTTATTCTTTAGGATTGTTGCAGTTCCCTTGCAAAGATCGGTATAGATTAATTCAACACAAATGAGGAAACTAAATAATTAAAATATTTAGTCTATATTATTATATATGAGGGAACTAAATAATAATTAGACGCACCACAATCACTATTTTTCGTCATTGATTCCTAATAAATTCCGCCAGTGGTAGTGTATAGGTTCACGTAAAATATTATTAAATTCTGAATTCCAATGGAGCATTACTTATGACAAGACGTAATTTTGAAGTGTAGGTGAAGATTCGCCAAGTATAAACTTTTATAAAATTTATTCATTAATATTTTGCATTGATAGTGAATACCACATTGTATGAAAATTGCTCATCATAAATATGAGGGCCTTTGACGTAACAGAACGGACAATGCTATTTTTCAACCTCCTGACGCCCTGGTGCCACATTTGCAAGCGATACAATGATCTCTTCATATTCAGTCGTGAATCCATCTGTTCTGCCCAAATGGAAGTTGTGTGTACGGCAGCGGGTAATAGCCGTCAAGTAATTAAATAAAAAAAACTGCTTTGCAAACTCGTCTAGATTCTTGTTCTTTACCCCAGTTCTCAGCGAGACTGTTCGAGTGCCGTGCAGAAAATTCATCATTCTCCATTGCAACATAGTGCTTTTGTTCCTCAACTTGCAATCAGGCAAAGTTTAACGTCGAACTCTGCTTCCACATTCAAGAACGATCGAACATACTCAGGTAAAGAATAAGTCAAGAAAATGATAGAATGGTTTTTATAATTATTTAGCAGATAAAACACAAGCAACCAACAAGAAAAAAACTTATTTTTTCCAATTATTCTTACATAACAGGTATTTAATTTTATCAGAACTGAAAGAATCAGAGAAAGATTCTCAATCCATCAAAATTCCACCTATTATAGTATCTAACGTCATAAACATTTAAAACTTCATTACAGATTTAAAACAAATTGCTATAAATTATGTTTTTACTGAGATACCTAATTAAGAATACAGTGAAAATTTTATATCAATCCAAAAATAATTTACAAAATTACAAAAAACTTTGAAGACAA